TAAGTCATTATATATATATATATATATAATGAATATATATATATATATATATATATATAAGAAAAAAAATATATATATATAAGTTTTGTATCGGAAAAATTCCGATATTTACTGCAAGTAGTCAAAATCTATAGTGTATGTTACATATGTAGATACACAATGATGCTAATCAGTATTCTAAAGCAAAGAATTTATTAAAATTATATAAGTTAATAAATTAAATTATATTTATTTACCTTTTTGCTTTGCTCCACAAATCCGCTGTTGTCGCAACTGATTGCACTTCAGTCAATTTTTTTTCAAGGACTGTCTTCATTGTAACGTACACTTGACAAAGTTTTTCTTTTAATGTTTTTCTACACATTATATGCATGTGTGAAGGAAGTCCAATTCTTACCATATTAATAAATGTTGGACTATCTACAATGGACAGTGGTTGAATATTTTCTATAATGAATTTTAATATTGCTTTATCCAATATTTTTTGAGTAGCCGAGTTTCCAGAACCCCATCTTTCCAATATGTGGTATTTATTTGGAACAGTATTGCTATTTTCATTTAAATGTTTCTTTGACAATTGTTTTCCTTTGTCAATGGCATCTAACATATGTGGATGTTTTGCCTATAAATAATTAGAAATTATTTAAATTAAAAAATTGTATTTACTTAAGCCAACATTTCTATACCTACTATGTTATATATTTTTGATTTGAGGTTGAGTGTTTCATGTAATTGTGCAGATTCCATGGAAATCTAAAAGTTTAATTAAAAAAAAATTTTTTTTAAATTTCTAATTCCTTGCTATTATTATTATACTATTTATAGCCATTATTTACTAGCCGTCTATAATTAATATTTATTATTATTTATTGAAATTAATATTTATCTTAAACGAAAATTTACATAAATAAAGAACAAAACGATAAGACTTGAATGACTTAATATTAAAAACATTAATAGAAAAATCGGCTAAAAGTATTTTGCATACATATATTCAAATAAATTTAAAGTTACAATAAATATTTATTTCATATATGCACAAAGTATCACGTATAAATATTCGTATGCATACAAAGTATCGTATTTTTATTAACTGATCTTTTTGTTAAATTTGTTTTTAATATTTACATAAGTCTTAACTTTTACTTCTTTATTTATCTAAACTTTGTTTTATTATATAAGTTACTTAAATTATTATCATTGCTTTCGATTATCATATTTATTCTTAAAAATCAGAATAACAATTATATAAAAAAATGACCTAAGCTGTGTTTCGTTATTCACTGTGAGTACTTATACCTCTATTTTGTAACTTTTAATGATAGTGTCGATATAATTACGTTGTGTAAGTTGTGTTGCACAGCTTTTTACCATGTATAATAATAATAATACTTGTGCAATGATAACATAAAACGATACCAAGTCGTTAAGAGTTACAGAATAAGGGTACTGAGGTAGTATTCTCTTCTGTACACGTTATCAATAATTGTCGGTATCATATATGTTAATATATACAGAATACTGCCCCTAAAAATCTAGTTTACGTTATGTATTCTACAGATTTTCAATACTCACAGTGAATAACGCAACCTTAATTTCATATGTCATAACATTGATATCATAATCTATTAAACCTATTAATATTCAAAAATAATTTTATTTTAATATGAAACCAAGATTTTTTTTATAAAAAATGTATTAATATAAAGAAGACTTACACTAACATGTTTTCTTAAATTTGCAGTTGTAGTTTTACTAGCATGAATAATTTTTTTTCCAATACATATTTTGCATAAAAATGCTCAATTTTTCTCATTTCCAAGTTT